TTATTCTTTATCCACCTTGAAAACCACCTTGCAAACCAACTGCACAGATGGATAAGGAGACATGAGTTGCACAAACAGAAACCACACTGGCCTTGGCACTGCTTTTGTCTTCCTTCCTGAGTTTCTATCCATAAGTGCATCTGAGTTTTTTTTCATTTTCCCCCTAATAAACACATTTAGGACAGACAATGTGCAACCTAACGTGCACTATCTACAGAGGTAATGTCTGTAAGAGAGTCTTATAATTTTGTTTCAGTCCTTTGACATTATTGATCTTTCCTAAGCTCAACTACTCTAAAAAAGTTATGCCTCACCATTTTGAGCACAGCTAGTACCCATAACCCATCAACTCAAAATCTTTCCACTTATTTAGATGTACAAATTATCAGACCAACAGTGCCACTGCAGTTTAAAGTCCAATCAAAAGCTAAAGAGAGTAAGACGAGAAACACAAGTGGTGTTTCACAGGAAAAAAAACAAAACAACAAAACCAAGCCACCAGCAAAATGCGTTTTCCTCAGTTCCCAGTAAGGAATATCTTCAGGATATGTGTTATAACCGTGTCCCCGAGCTCGGGAGGCCTCCGGGCAGCGCGGCCCCTCAGAGCGGCCGCCGCGCAGGGCCGGGCGGAGCGCCCAGCCGCGGACACGCCTCCGCCCCGTCCCCGCCCGCCGAGCTCCGCCCGCCGCGGCCCCGGCAGCGCCGGCGGCCTCCCCGCGCTGTGCCGCCCCCGCACCGCTCACCAGCAGGGGCACCCCGAAGGTCATCGTGCGGCTCCTCCACAGCTTCCGCAGCTTCTCCATTCCCCCGCTCCCGCCCCACGGGCCCGGCGCCGCCCTCCCGCCTCCGGCCCGGCCCCGGCGCTTCCGGCGGGACGCGGCCCCGCGCCTCTTCACGCCGGTTCCGCTGGGCATGGGCCGCGCCTCAGCCCCTTCCCTCCACACACCCCCCGCACGCTTTCCTTCACAGCTCGTTGATGAACGCAGTTGAGCAGGCCTCGTCACGAGCTGTATCTCTTCATTCTGTAGCCTGCTTCCCTAAGGAGAGAAGATTGCCGACCGCGATCATCTGTTTTTTTGCATTGTTATCCCTTGTCCCAGTCAAAACGAACCAAAAAAAGCCTTTTCAAAACAAAGTTGGCTACAACGGTGCTAGTGAAAAAGGTGGTAGCCTTACTGTGATATTTGGAGGCAATAGTCCTTCATACCTGCTGGGAATTAAATGTGCTGTGCCGCCCAGCCCAGCAGGTCTCAGCTGCAGCCTCTCGCACGGTGTTGGAGTGCTGAGCTGTCACCGACACGAGCACCCATTCTCCAGGCACAGGCTGCAATGTTTTTATGTGTTACGGTAGCCAGAGGTTCCGCCCAGACCTGGCAGCCTCTGGCAATCGCAGAGTGGAGACAGAACGCCAGGTCCTCTTTTCCATACTTCTGAATTGCTACACAGCCTTTTCACATTGCACGTCATTGCTGATGGCATGCAGCGCAGGGACAAATTGTAACAAGGCACCTGCTGCCTCAACTCAAAGAGTAATTTAAAAACGTTTGAAAATTTAACATTTATGATTCCTTCCTTTGGTCTTCTCCATTAATCAAGGAAGTGATGGAGGTACTTAATAAAGTTTTCGGACCATGCTAATAAGATAGCACATATATATATAAACTAAAATGAGAATAAAACCAAACACATATAGTAAGATAAACTAATATTATTGTAATCCCATATCCACTAACTTGTTCTGAGAACCCTACCAGTCTAGAGAGAAAGAAACAGAACTGAAGAATAAAAAAATAACATAGCAGGAAATTACTATTTCTTGAGTACCTCAGTAACACAAAGGCAACATGAGTATAAATTCCAGAGATGCAAGCTGTCAGCTGGGAGCAGTGAGAGCAAGAGAACAGGTCTGTGTATGTCCATCCCCGTGCTGTGCTGAGCCTGGGATGAGCTCATCACAGAGCACAGGCTCAGTGCTGGGAAACCAACACACCCAGGGCCTCTGAAAGCACAACTGTCCCTTCTGAAGAGTTTGAGAAAAATAGGCTTCAAATCACAGACTTGTGAAGAGGAAGGCAACTGACCAAAAAGAAATCAGAAAGAATAATGTCATGGAATTAAGGAAGTTGTGATCATAGATAAAGACATGCTGAGAAAAGAGGTTATTACTTACTTCGCTCCTCTTATGCCTTCCCTAGAAAGTTTATTTTGTACCTCTAATATTCCAGTGTTAGGCTAACCTGACGTGCAGTCTTACTCTCCCACCTGAATACTATAGGTCACTGCTAGAGACACAACCCACAGCTACTGATGCCCATGTGCAGAATTGGTGCCATCTCATCCCAGCTTTTAAAATGACACCAAAAAACCTGGCTGTAAGAAGAAGGGTTAAGAGTTTCTTCCAATGCTATGGGGTGCTCTTGTTAAGATTCATACAGTGTTCTTCTGTTTTCATTGATAACTGCTGATGGTATTTAAAATTTTCCACGTGGTGTTATACGGAGAAAGCAGCAAGAGAAAGTAAATGTGTAACTAAATACAAATATGATAGAATCATGTAATAACAACAACAATTTTGTAATAATTGGAAGGATAATAAAAATGCCTAAGACAAACATGCTGTGCCAGAGATGAACAGTAAATTAGGATTTTAAAATGTCTTAATGTTTAATAATCTAAAATGCTGTTAAATTACAGAGTTAAAGTCATTATCAATAAATATTTTATTTCCACAGTGTCACTTTGTTCATTTCATTATTTGTTGATCAGTCACCTTGAACAGAGAGGGGTAGGGAGAAACCATTTTGAAGACTGGAATATATTCTGGGTTTGATTTACAGAAGTTTGATGCCTCCTTGATGTGACCCCTACTGGCATCAACAGATAGGCAAACATAAAAGTGTGTTAAAAAACATCTGGGGGTTTTATGACATTCACAGCTTGCCCCAAATGTTGTTCCCAATACTTCAAACACATATTTATGTTCCCAAGTAGGCTAAATGTGGCTTTCTTGTCCGGGTTACCATATAACCAGTTAAGCATTTTTTACTTTGTGAAGTACTGTGAGAGGGTATTCTGTGTGAAATGTGCCTCTGGAGCCCATCTCCTAGATGCATACATGATGCTTCATCTGAAGGTCAGGTGCAGAGTGAAAACACAAGGGTGATGGCCGGCTGGCTTTTGTCACAACAAAGGGAACGAGGTGTTTCTGAGTGCAGTTTCCCTGGCCTAGACAAATGCTCTGGGAAAGCCTCTTCTCACTTTCCCCCTGAGAAGGACCTTTAAAATTTGTTGCATATAATGTGCTGTTGGCTGTTGGCAGAAACCCTGGGAACTTCAGACAAATGAAGCTTGCAATGCTGCAATGGTTTAGGCTGCAATGACCACAACTGCAGGGGAATACAGAGTGGAACAGGACATTGTGCAATATGGTTTCTGGATAGTGGCATGGAGGTCATGACAGAAATCTTATTAAACACCCCTGGACAAGCCATACTAATGAAGATTGGTATTGGACTGGTTACCAGGAGCTGCAGAATTGCTCACAATGCAGCACTGGCTGTGGGTAGACAAGGTTAATAAGGAACACGACTTCAGTTCAATGTAGAACTTGCAGCAGTTTGTACAGAGGACGAAAATGAGAGGCATGTTGTAGAGGTTTTGTTGCCTAAACACGCATCACTTCAGGAGGCAGTGGAGCGAAGCCATCCTGTGAGTTACATTTCTATCCAGTAAATCTCTCCAGAGCCTCCTGCTTCAATAAGGGCATGCACGTGTAACAAACCATCAAACATTGTCTGTGCAGACATGATGTACATCATAGCCAAGACCTTCAGCCCCAAAAGCACACACTCCTGTATACCTGAGCTAAAGAAACAGCTGGTTAGACTTAGCATGTGTTTGCAACCAAAAAAGGAAACAACCACCATCTTAAGGGCTTGTAGTTCTCTCTGGGTGCAGGGTGGAAGCCCTGACTTGGTAGTAGCTGTTGAGAACACTATTTCTAAAGAGAACACTATTTCTAAAGAGAACACCATTTCTAAAATGGCAACTCCCTTCAACACACTGCCTGTTCCTTTTTCATCCTCCTTTGTGTAGCCAAGAGAAGTTGCAAGGGAGAGAGGGGGCCTGGATTTCCCCTTTGATTCCTTCCTATACTTTCTGACTAGACTTCCTAGTGAGGTAATTGAGTGGAAGAGTTAGTGTACTTGTCCTTTCCTGATTCTGTGCTTTCTCATCAGCTGTCAGAATTAGCATAAGTACATCCAAGGACCAGATTCTTGTCAGGAGCCAGCTTGGAGAGGCCAGTGAGCCAGCTGTGCCCATTTTTCATTCCACTGAAATAGTGCACACAGCGGAAGGCACTGTGGTGGCCCATGCATTGAAACGGTCATCTGTGCTTTCCAGATGTGGTCCGAATTTTCCCCCTCCACCTCCAAAAAGGGAGGAGAAAGGAACAGGTTGACATTCTTTGGGTTCACCATTTGTTTTTTACCTTCTTGGGTTGGCTCAAGAATAGGCCAGGGAAGGATGGCTCTGAAGCCATGTTTTATGTCTGTTAGTGCAGGAGGAAAATCTGAAGGAAATACTGACCTTCCAAACAGATTCACTCTTCTCTTCCTTGTGCTCAGGAAGGCCATTTCCCTAAATACAGCCAGCAAATGTCAGCTAGGAGAGAGATTCCCCAGGGAATCTGAGAGGAAAAATGAAACCAGGAACATTGCCTAGGATTAGGAAAACAGAGGGGTCTGTGCCAAAAAGCACCAATATGGTCAAGTCATGTCTGCATCTAGTTAGTAGCTGCCTCTAATCACCACAGCCCCATGCCTTTTTTGACCCCAAAGAAAAGCCACAATAACACATTCATTTTCTAGGTTCTTTGTTATTATTTTCAAGAGCAGGACAGTCATTCAAGCTCTTAAATTTGAGTACTGAAAACAGGTGGTTGTAGAACAGGAGCACCTTTCATTTGTCCTTCACATGAGTTAGAAACCTGACACTTACAAAAGGGATGGATCTGAGTGGACTTTGTTGCTGGTCTAAGAGATGAGAGGGTTGAGTTCTGGCTCTGGTTCCTTCACTGGCTGTGGGCAGGCGATTTGTCATTGGGGAAGGGGAAACCGAGCCAAAATAGAGAAGAGACTGCTGGGCTTAAATGGGTAGAGGGAGCGATAAAAAGATAAAACAGTTCCAGAGAAGGAACATCACAGTATGTGCACTCTGCCCATATGCATGCTCTCATGCCTGAGAGAGTCAGCAGTTCTCTGTAGATCAAGGATCATGGAGGCCCCTGGAGGAGAATACAGTTTAGTTACCACAATTCTCAGTTCCGTGTTGTGGTTCACAGTCATTTTGCCAAGCAGCAGTAGTGGCAGTCCTTGGAAAAGGGACTGAAGCAGAAAGGGTCTTCCCTCCCCTCTGTTGTCTGTTGAAGAAAGAAACTAATGTATGCAAAAGGGTGTGACAAATAAATAGAACAGGAGAGCAGGGATGTTATTTGGGAGCAAACTGGGCAGTTTAGACCCGTGTATGTCTACAGGTTCGTGATGTGCCTGAGGCTGAGGGGGCTGCAGAGGTGGAGGGGGACTCCTCATCCGTTGTGTCCCCTTGTTCCTCCTTGTGGAGGCCAAGGCTGATGTGGCTCTGCAGGGCTGCTGGGGTCAGCCATTCCTTGGGGAGACAGCTCTGGAGAAAGGGGATGCATGAGCTGAAGTAGGCCAGGCGGTTCACCCAGCGGGGGATCTCCTTCCCACATAATATCTGTGGAGTAAACCAAAAAGGAGCATGGTTAATAGTACCAAAACAAGTGTAGAGGCAATGTCATCCCCATCCACACCACCACCTTAACAGGGTGAATTCCCTGTTGCTCAGAACAGAAAGGAGCATTTCCTGCAGTCAGGAACAGCTGTAAGTGTCCACACAACTGCCCAACATGCACAGGGACCCCTGCCAGCCGTAAGTCTTATCAGCATCATAACAGAGACCAGGAAAAACAGTTTATGGCCCTCAGTGGCTTTGGTGATTCTGTTCTCCAGGCAGTCCATGTGTAAAAGAACAGACCTGCTGGGGCTTCACAACCAAGACAATGACATTCCTTTAGCAAATAGTTCAAAAAGTCTGGAAAAATATTTAAGCTGTTGCTGGTCAGACCTTGAGGAGCCCTGAAGCAAAGTATGTCTAGGTAGATGGAGGCGCCTGAGAAGCTGTTCTTGTTGCTTCCTTTTCTTCCTTGGGCTGACACAGTGGTTCAGTCAGCTTATAGTATCTGGGGGTTCTTTTCCTATCCTACCATACCACCCTCTAATTTCTCCTCATATGGTATTTCGAAATATGGGGAAAAAAGCAACAAAAGAAATCCCCAGCCCAGGTTGTAAGTATCTCTGTTCCGTCATAGATGCTCCTGGCACTGATTTGGATTACACTCTGCCAGCAGAAATACTGTTTTCCAAGGTCATATCAAATTCAGCACGATGAAACAACTTACTCCATACTGCAGACCCTTTCTCCTGTAGCATTTAACCACACAGACGTACAGGCGCCAGATTTTAATAGCTGTATCTGGCTTAGACCACATAAAGAATGTTTCCCTTTACATTTTACTATATCCCTTACCAGGCACAGGGAACTGATCAGCAGGCATGCCTCAAGAGCCTGTCTTTAGTAAACTTACTGCCTGTGTATAAGGCCCTATACATAGTCCATACTGGTTCAGGAGTCATGACACCTGAATTCTCCTTCCCTCCCTGTGTTGTTTACCATGGGGCAAGACAGAGAAAGAGGAAACTCCACCCACAGACCTTGTCCCGCAGTTTACATGAATTAGTGGTTCTGGGGTTGTCCATACTGTACCTTTTGCTAATACTAAATTCCTCTGCTCTTCCTCCCACCCTCTTTTTGACTAAAACCACACTTAATTTAATACTAAGTACTGCAAAAACTCAAAAGGTGTTCGTCTGGAGGCCACTAAGAAGATGATTTGGTGAGAAGTCTCTTATTGGCAAGGCTTAGAGGTTTCCAGAAGTTTTCAGGGAGAATGGAACATTCTCTAGAGGATGGGCTGTGCTGTGTTACAGCTGTTTCAGCTGATGAGCAGCTGGTCCTTCCTGCATATGGCCTGGGCGGAATGCTCCAAGCCCCACTCCAACAGTCACCTTAGGCATAAGGGAATTAGCTTGCTCCAACAGTGTGGCGTTTCCAATGAGGTGTGGAGAAGGCAGCAAACCTGTGACTGTGCTAATTTGACTACAGAACTCACTTTATTTTGACACACATTGTTTAAAAATCAATGTGTGAAACTGGAGACATTATCATTAGGCATCAGAGAATGAGAAGAGCCATTTAGCTGCTAAAATTACTTGCAGGCATAGACTGTTCTTTACCTAATACACTCCAAGGACTTCTATTTCAGTCCTTACCAATGCTGTATTCCACTTAACCTTAGACACAGCTATATGAATCTGTATTTTTGAAATTTTTAATCTGGGGACAATAACTTTATTAACAATTTTTATCTCCATCCTGATTTCCATTGCCTGAGCCTGTAAGTGGATAAGCTCTTCACATATGCTTGAGACTCATTAATAGAAAATTTGCTGATACATTTGATTTTCTCAGCAGATGTATCAGACAATTTTCACAAGAATACTGTTGAAGTTTAAGACTTATTTTATGTATTCTACTCAAACATTTTGACCTACACTGTACTATTTTCACCTGAGCCAAAGCCACAAATTGCACTACAATTTCCCTCAGATTTTGTAGCATTCCTCTTTCTTCCTCTTTAGGAACTTAGGCAACACATATTGCCATAGAAAATTACTCAATTTAGGCTCCTTGTGATGTATGTATGGATGCAAATTTAGTTCTCAAGCAGTTTAAAGTTTTAATAAAGACTTCCTCCCAGATATTAATAGATAGAGCAAGTAAACCAGGGTATGATTCTTTGGAAAATTAGCTGAAACAACAGAACAGTATAAGGTAAGATGGCCTGAAATGGAAATACTCTTCTTAAGAGTTGGATGTATTTTCTAAGCAGATCCCCTGGCAACTGAAATAGCACTTCTCAATGTGGAAGCAATGATGAGATGTTTGCTTTCTTTTATAGGAGCTTCTTCACCCAGAATGAATCAATAAGGCAAGGAAGAGTCAGAAAAAGAATGAAGATGTGTGGGCATCAGGCCACCAAGCAACAAAGGGCAATTTGTGAAGATCAAGGATAATGATGAAATCGAAGTGGTTTCCCTTACCTCAGTCTTGCTTGTCATGTCACCTCTTGTCAGCGTAGCCTCATTACTATTCCACGGCAGAACACAATGTTCAACAGGAGCAAAAGGACAATGGCAGGGAATGCTACCAACACTACAGTCTGCTTCTGTGTTTTTCACTCCTTGCCATAAGGCATATTGTGCTGGAGCATCCAGCAGTGCTTAGCTAATGGAGAAACATCAAATGAACCTGGCTGCCATGGGATTAAGCCAATTGAGTTTAAATAAAACAGCACAAGCAAGATGAAGTGGGTGTTTTCCAACTGCATATGAAGACACAGAAAAATCTACCTACTGCAGCTCTTCTGAGAAATTTTCCACTAAAAACCACTCACTGGAATGATAAATCCACTGAATGCTGTTACCACCCATTGTTTTCCATCAGCAGAATCCTTTTTCACATGTTTTTAGAGTTCAAGATTTCACATGGTTTTTTTTTTCTTTGTCAAAGAAGTGGGGTTTTCCCTGTTGAAGGGGATGAACTTCTCTGGGCTAAGTCATGTACTAACTCTGAGAGGAGATGTAAATAAATAATGAACTGTTACAGGTCAGAAATTGCAGCAAGCACAACTTCTGACTGCCTGAGACCAGTTCTCATTTCAGGCACTTGGGCGAAGGCTGCACATTCTTGCAGCTTCCATAGCTGCAGCTTCTTCTGGGGATTCTGTGTAAGAGCTGTGAGTGACCCAGCTGGCACCTGCAGAGGCAAATGGAAACAGCCAGATGGGCAGGAGAAATGGGACCTGACAGTTTGGGTGCTTTTTCCAGGCAACTATCAAATCCACACCAGGATTTCAACTCATCAAGAAACAACTAATTTGGGATATGAAAATATCCTCCAAGTACCTGAAGCTGTATCATTTTGCACTAAACAGTCACTGGTTAAAATGTACAAACTGCCCTGCATCCTCTCCCCTCCCTAAGTGTCCTAGGAGCTACCTGTCCCAGCTGGGCAAGGCTTTAACACCTCCCTGTAAGGCTTTGAGGTGGGCAGGGGAGCAGCCTAGCAGCTGGGCAACATGGGCTGAAATGCCATCCAACAATGGAAGATGCTGAGTCTCCTGCATTCTAGAAGACAATGTTATCGATGTGCTGCATGTTGAGAGGGCTTTGAGGCGTATGCTACACATTATCTGAGATAATCTAACAAGCTGAGCCCCTTTCAAAATACATAGAAGAGCTGATCAGTTTTAGATCCTAAGAGAAAGTTATCAAATGTAATAGGTTCTGTGCTGTGCTGGATGATGCAACTGGGGCAATTCAAGCCATGCATAGAAGTATAACTCAAGGAATCAATATCCTCAAGTGAGGATTTTTTTGTAAGGGAGCCCTCTCAGTGGCACCATGTAGTGCTCCAATCCATGAAAATAAAGATGAACAGAGGCGACATAACATTCTTCAAACAATACAAGCTAATTACTTCAATTCTTGTTTTCAAACAGAGGCTTGGAGGGTTCAGGGCTAAACGTCTGCTGAACCACCGGCTGCCACTTCCACTTAGCAGCCTTGCTAGAGATGAGGTGGCACCCACATGGGACATGTATCCATGTGAGCTACCATACAGAATTCCCCTCGGTATCTCTTAGAGAATGCTGAGGGGTTTTATTGGCACCTGAGGAGTCTTACACACACCTCAGAGCAATTTAAGAGAAAAGACTTTAGAACTCCAGGGGAATCATTGCAGTATTTGCATAAAATGGCTCCTACAATGCCTATACAATACAACATAGATTATCCTCATCAGAATTTCAGAATAAGGTCATTAGATACAAACTAGCACATCTGCCCAGGCAAGGCCTGCAGGCCATGCTGGAACACTAAAACACATATGTAGAAAGAGAAAATGGCAATTCAGTCTATGTAGCTCTTTGACACATCCAGAATAAACCAATAACCCAATGCACAGGGACAACTTTTTTGCCACCTCACAAAAACTTACCTGGCAGCATAACTACCCAGTGCTGGCAGAGCTAAGGGAGTTTGAGTGCATCAACAAGGAACATACCTATAGTTCTGCACCCCTGTCAGCTGCTGCACATAGTCTGTTCGTTAAAAAGAACATTTCTGAGAGAAAACAGACATAACCACCTTCACAACACACATGAAGGTACAGTCTCACCTTGGTGGAGTTGGCATACTAGGATCAATTGCTTGAGACAGATTTATAGTATACTTACTGTGTAAAAATTACTACTCTGGGGAATTCAAGTAGCCTGTGGTAATCAACAGAATGAAGTGCCACTGGGCTGTGAAGCTGCCTGCAGCACACATTCAGCAGAGCCAGGAATGGCCTGTGACTTACAGAGGAAAGGGTATAGCTGAGAAACTGTAGATGAGGATAAATGAGCTCAGTAATGAAGCTGTGTTCTGGGAGGTAACAACCTGAGTCAAAGGCAGGAAGGTAGCAGCCAAGTTGAAGGAATTTTGAATTATTTTAAGCAACTGCCTGAAATGCCCCCATTCTTCTATTCAATCATTTTTTATTCTGCAATGGGC